TCATCTTGTTCATGAACACTACAGTCTCTTATATCCCAAGAAGGTCAGAAGTATGGGTTAGATAAGGATTTAAAGCTATCGGTTTTCTTCAAAGCACTTTAGCGGCATTACACAATAATTATATTTATATATAAATTATATAAATTATAAATTGCTGGTCCCTCATCTTGTTCATGAACACTACAGTCTCTTATATCCCAAGAAGGTCAGAAGTATGGGTTTACATTGAAGTAACATTCTATCACACCCTCCCTCACTCTTTCTTTTCCCAGCATCTTATTTCTTCCCTTTCCAGGGCTCCTGATCTTTGTGGGAATTGCAGCTCATGTTCCTAAGAACCCTAATTTCTTCCCCCTCTTCTAATTTCCTCCCTGCAAATCTCAGAGACTAATCATTGTAAAGAGAAGGTGGGAGACCAGAAATGAAATGGAAAAGGAAGAGCCACAATACCTTTTATATCTAAATCTCAAAGGTCACACACTGTCACTTCTGCCACATTCAATTTATTAGAAGGAAATCACTAAGTACTGCATGTGCCTTATGAAGGGAGGAGTATCAAAAAATTGATGGACAATTTTGAACCCCCAGAACAATATCATAATTTTTACCCTAAAGAAATCATATATCTTTTTAAAAGAACTAGATAACGAAAGAAAATATGTATAGTCATATCTTTATACCTATGTATTACTTCTGGTTTCTTTATTCCTTATAATAATTCACGGATCAGTAAACTAGAGTACAGATCAAACCCACTGCCTATTTTTACATGGCCTGTAAGCTAAAAGAGATTTTAACTTTTAAATGACTGAGGGGAAAAAAATCAATGAGAGTATTTTTGTGACATGTGGAAATTATATGGAATTTAAATATCAATGTCTATAATAAAATTTTATTGGAATGTAGCCATGCTCATTTATTTATGTATTGTCTATAACTCCCTTCAGAACAGAGTTGTTTCAACACAACATATGACCCACAAAGCCTAAAATATTTAGCATCTGACTCTTCGCAGAAAACATTTACCAACCTCTACTCTACATCCAAGTTACTATCTGATGTCATTTCCTTTTAACCTAAAGAATTACCATTATTTCTCCTCTTGGAACACATATTATGGTGATAAATTCCCTCAGATTATCAGATTATCTATTTATCTAAATGTCTTTATCGCAGCTTCTTTTTTAAACTATTTTTAAAAAATATTATTTGGCTGCTGCAGGTCTTAGTTGCAGTACGCAAGATCTTTGAACTTCAATCTTCATTGCAGTATGTAGGATCTTTCAGTTGTGGCATACAAACTCGTAGTTGTGGCATGTGGGATCGAGTTCCTTGACGAGGGATCAAACCGAGCCCCTTGCATTGGGAGGGCAGAGTCTTAGCCACTGGATCACCATCAGGGAAGTCTCTATTTCAGCTTCACTTTTGAAAGATACTTTCTTTAATTGATGATTGGACATTGTGGATGATGCATTGTAATAACAATGAATTCTGTTATATTTTTCTGCAGACTTGATTATTCTTCTAATAGACAATTAACTTGTCTGTCCACAAACTATAAATCATAGCTTTTATAGCTGTTTTTATTTTCTGGGTCTTGTGTTGTTCTATTGGATTTTAAATTTCAGCCTCCATTACTTTCAATGAGAAGACAGGTGTTAATCATATCATTATAAGCAAGACTCACTTTATTGCACTTCACTTTATCATGCTTTGGAGATACTGCATTTTTTACAAGAAGATTTGTGGCAACCTTGTGTTGAGCATGTCTATCAGCACCTTTTTTCCAACAGCATTTGCTCACATAGTATCTCTGTGTCACATTTTGATAATGTTTGCAGTATTTCAAAGTTTTCCATTATTATAATATTTGTTACAGTGATCTGTGATCAGTGATCTTTGATGTAACTACTGCTCCCTGAAGGCTTGGATTACAGTTACCATTTTTTAGCAATAAAGTATTTTTAATTACGGTATATCATTTTTTTCCAACATAAAACTATTGAACAATTGGTAGATTACAGTATAGCATAAATATAACTTTTATGTGTACTGGGAAACCAAAATATTCATGTGACTCCCTTCATTGTGACATTTACTTTATTACAGTGATCTAGATTCAGCTCTGAAACTGCTCAGAGGTATGTCTGCATTCTCCTGTATTTAATGCAATTTCCTCTGGGCTGCTTTCAAGATTTCTTTTATATTTCTAGCATTTAGCAATTTGCCTACAATGTGTCTAGTAGCGGGTTTCTTTTGTATTGGTTCTAGCTGGAGGTCACTGATGATCTGGAATCTCCAAGTTAGTTTTTCTCAAACATGAGAAGTTTTCATCTACCATTTCAGCCACTCTAGTTTTTTGCCTCTTTCTCTCCCACCTCTACTTCTGGGATCCTAACTAAAGACAGTAAAAATTCAGCTCTCCCCTAAGAGGAGCTATGAAGAGATAACAAAAGGCCCTCAGTTTAAAAAAATCAGTAAACTGCACTTGTGTTTTTCAAAAATTATCTCCTATTTGGTTTGCAATTCTATTTACTTATTTTTTATCTTTTTGGCCATATTGTGTGGCATGCAGGATTTTAATTCCTGACCAGGGATTGAACTCGTATCCTCTGCATTGAGAGCAGAGTCTTAACCACTGGGCTGTCAGTGAAGTGGCTTATACTACCCTTCGACAGAGCTCCTATAGTCTCCCCCAAATACTCAGGAGAGTCAGCCAGGTATGGATGGCTCTAAGTTTGGGTGTTAGCCTTTGGCAGCTCTCTCCATTCCAGGATTTTCCTCTTAAACTTCAAGCTTCTTTGCCAGTCCTCAACTTAGTCCTCTGACACTTCAAACCATATAGTTGTGGTTTTCTGTTCCTGGAGCTATGGAAGTTGCGGAGCACCTTGTGTAAAAAGCTACAAATTCTCAATTCTTACCCACTACTTACACATGGACTTCCCTGGTGGCTCAGACGGTAAAGCATCTGCCTACAATGCGAGAGACCGGGGTTCAATCTCTGGGTCAGGAAGATCTCCTGGAAAAGAAAATGGCACCCCACTCCAGTACTCTTGCCTGGAAAATCCCATTGACGGAGGAGCCTGGTAGGCTACAGTCCATGGGGTCGCAGAGTGGGACATGACTGAGCGACTTCACTTTCTTTCTTTCTACCCACTACTTTACTTTAAAGAATAAACTTCCCACTAGTTTCTGTTTCTTTTTGGTCTGTTAGTATTTTTGGTCTCTTTTCCAGCGTTTTTAATAAATTGTTACGTTAAAATTTTTTCCAGGTTTTGCCATTGCTACCTGTGGCAGGGTTCATTTACCTCATCAATTCACCATTACTATTATCTAACACTAGTTAGTCCCCTAACTTTTTAAAAACAATCTCCCAAACTTGAATTTATAATTTTATATATTATAAAATTGTAATCATTGGTAGTACTATAATGGAAAATAGCATAAACTACCTAAAGTAATGGAAAAGTCCACTTCCACAAATGTAGAAATAAATTTGCAAGAGTTCAATGTACAATATCCTCCTGTAGCTCATGATGAAATTGGTGCCTTCCTATTCTACACCCATACACACCTACCTGGAAACAATCAGGCCTGTGAGTCATGAAAACTGACAAAGCAAATAAACTACTTGGAATTATTTAAAAGTTAAAAAGAACTCATTTAAGCGCCCCCTCAAATGATTTGTAGACTGTTTTGTAGACTGGATTAAAAGATTTAGAAAAGGAAGATGTGTATTTGGAATAAAGACTTGTATACCTTTTAAAAACAAGAGCAATAATTAAGAGTAACATTTAAAGATGTATTTTTTTTAAAGTAAATACTTACCTTTGCTTTTCTAGAATGAGAAAATATTTTAATAATATTTTTCAAAATGTATTACACATTTTCTTATACCAAAACAGCATAGTAAGAAGAAATGAAGGGAGAATCCACAACATTTGCCTTTAGGAATTCTACTTATACTCTCCTTTTACTGATAATTAAACACTAATATTCCATGGACTTTCAGTCACAGAATTGTGAAGTTAGCAAAGTAAATCTGTGGTCAGTAAAAAGCTCAAAATACAAGAATAACTAATTTAGGTCCATCATATTATATGCATATTATATGCAAACTGCTGAATTAGTATTCTTAAGTATTCTTAAGGATCCCTTTATTCTCACTACAGCAATAGCAACAGCCAAACAACAGTAATTCCACAACCAAAAGAATCCATTTTCATGTAGAATGAGTAGAACAAATATAGAAAAGGAGAAAATGGAGACCAAGGGCATCACACCAATTTTATATTAAAAAAAAAAAAGAACACCCATTATGATTCTATCATTCTTCCTTAAGCCAAAACATTAACTGGTGGTTTTGTTCCAAACCAGACATGGCAAAGTCTGATAGGAGAATTATAGTCAAACTAAGTGGATTTGCCAATGATACATGAAAGCAAATGATATCATTTGCCAATGATACACTGCTGATGTTGAAGTTCAAGTATAAATAAGCATAAAAATCAGCAGGAATTCAAAAGAGATAGAAGAAATTATTGGCACTGCTAGATATGTTAATTATCTTGATTGTGATGAGTTCACATATATGTCAAAACCGTACGCTTTGGCCTGCAGTTTATTCTACCTCAACTAGATTTCAATAAAGTTCAAAAAAAAAAAATCAATACTCATTTTTACTCATCACTTGGATACTTTAAAGACAAAAATGGAAATCAATTAAAAGTTTGTAACCAAACAACTCAAGGATCATAGATAAATAGCCACTCAAATTAAAAGAATATGTATATTATCTTTATATATATATCAATTCTTTCTTTGTATCAAGAAAAAGAATGAAAGTCTCAATGGTGGTATCCCGAGACTCTCTGGTCAAAAGATGATAGAGGTCACATTGTCTATTCCATTTAGGTTCCACCCAGGTGTAGAATGCTCCTGGTTTCCATTTCCAAATGGATGTGATAACACAGTTTATTAAACAGGATTTGCAGCCTTACTGTACTTCTCTTCCTTGCACCTCTGCAGAATCTCTAAGCTCCTCTGGTGGACTGGGTGTTGGAGAAAGCTAATACTATCCATACTTTTCAAAACTGCACATGGCGCTGTATCATCATGTCCTTAGGAAGCAAAAGAAAAACAAAAAAATGGAAAAAAGAAAAAGGCATTATATAAGCCCACACCAACAGAGAATCAAGGACAATGCTGCCAACTATTTTAAGAGTACATAAAAATGTATCAGGTAATAATAATTTTTCCAATTAATTTGAAGAAATTACACACACACACACACACACAAATAAAGGTCCTGTTTAGGTATTCAAAGTATTCTTTTTCAGTATTCAACATGTTGTTGTGTTAACACCATATTAAAAATCTCTAATTTAAAATACTAGGGAAATTACAAAAACAATTTGTATGGTGCCATTTTTTTAATGGACTCATTTTTATCAGGTCTGAAATATAATTATAATATAGTTGGCAACAATGTAAGAAACATTGATGGAATCCCAAAGAGAAACAAACCCAAAACAATTTACCAAAAGTTAAACTTTCACAAATCTTGCAATTAACCACACTTGTAGGAAATCCAAGTGTGTCAATGTTGAAAAAGTAGAAAGAAAAGCACCACAGAACAGGAAAACCCAGCAGCACTTCTGTATTTATGAATCTGAAAACAAAGCTGGAGAATCTGTCAAAATTAACTATTGGGAAGAAAGGGAAGAGAGCACATTCAAGCAAGAACCAAAGCCCCAGATTAGTGTTACTGAAACAGTGGGTCACTCGAGCAGAAAAGAGAGAAGGAAGATTGTACCATAAATATTAGGAATAAATGGATTTAAAGAGAATTCGGGTTTTCCAGGCTTGGAAGGTGTTGAGACTCATTTATACGGAGAACATCTCTAGAGTTAGGACATTAAGTTCAAATGTAAGTAACTTTGCCTTTAAAACACAAAAGTGAATAGTTTAAAAACAGATGGAGGCAAATTAAGCAACACATAATTATGTACTAAAGTTCCACTAGTATGCACGTACTGTATAATTAGGAATAAGATACTATCTATGAATAGTTCTCGAGGAAGAATCATTTTAAAAGTTAAACAGACGCAGAGTAATTCGAAGAGGTTTGCAAAGCATGGTTTAATCAAACTATAATTCTTTAAACTGGATACCAACACCCAGAGAATAGGCATCAACTTTTCAGCTAAGGAGACAGAAATTTATGATGCCATAACAACAGATTATAATAGACAGACACAGGTATACGTATTTGTATATCTGATATAGACATAATCAGGTTTTTGTACAATATTTTAAGAATTCATACTAGTTAATTTAAAAATAAGCTAATAAAACATTATCTCATTTATCTAGCATGGAGAGTCCACAGTTGCAAGTGTTCAATGTTTCAAAAGAGACAAGTTTTCTTTTTGACCAAGTTACCACCATTTCTTAGTCAAAAGATACCTCAATAAAAATATTCTATTCTCAATAATCTCCCACCTTGACTGGGTGCTTGGAGAAGGAATGCTTAGATTCAGATGAGCCTACATTTGGCTAGTAACATGGTGGGGTAGAGTTGGGAGGTTATCAGTGAAGGGGGACCATTAGAGGGAAAAAACACCTGGCGAGTTCAACTCATACTCTATCCAAATCGCACTTTTCTAAAGTTATCACCAGATTTTCAGGCCCTTCAATAACTAATGATATATAGCAGTCAAGAAATAATTTAAGAAAATTATGGTATTAAAGTATTTTGTATAAAAGTTCAAAATATTAAATATACTAAATTATTATGTAATCTTAAGTTAAAACTCACTCAAAATTAACAGTCATTGTACTCATATTAGTCTCTCAGTCGTGTCCAACTCTTTGCAACCCCACGGACTGTAGCCCACCAGGCTCCTCTGTCCATTGGGATTCTTCAGGCAAGAACACTGGAGTGGGTTGCCATGCTCTCCCCTCCAGGGGATCTTCCCAACCCAGGGATCGAACCCAGGTCTCTCGCATTGCAGGTGGATTCTTTACCATCTGAACCACCAAGGAAGCCCGACTAGGCACAATTTCAACTGGATAACAGGTAATTTTCTATCTGTGATCGTTTTGTGTCTTACCAGCGTACCTACAATTCAGGTATGAATGAAAATTCTTTCATTTTGCTTTCTATGCCTTCTTTTAACTCTTTACCAATTTTTAAAGACTGCTTTACAGACTCTAATACTACTTCCAAACCTTAAAGTGATATGCCTCTCTTTGCTGTGTTCATCAGCTCCCTGTCAAGACAGTTTGGTTTCCTAGGACGGTTTTATAAGTGCATGTGCAGTGGAGTCTCAAGCTCTTAAAAGGCTTATGTAGTGTTTGCTTGTGCTAGTTTCTAGTCTGGATAATTTCTCAGTCTGAGATTATGCATCAAACTACATAAATTCCCATGCATGGTTAACAGCTGTAACCCATGCATGCTGAAGATACAGAACACTGATTTTTTTAGTCAACCTTTGTTTTCAAACTTTATCCAAGGCCTTACACATATTGATAAGATTAGTTTTGTTCCTCCTAGGCAGGACCAATAAATAACAATTTTTCAATTATCTTTTCAGTGACAGAGAAGTTCAAGCTCTTTGAAGCTCCTTATACCACATAACAGGGGCTTAATTCCAGATTCCTTGTAGCATTCAAATCTGAAACCATATCTCTGATCCCTGTAACAGTTTCTATAATGCCAATTTTCACACCTTTTTTAAAGGTATATTTTTAATGGCCATTTTTTAAAGACAAATTTCACATATGGTAAAATTCACTAATCCCAAGTATACAGTTTGATAAGCTTAAACAGATAGCTATATCATGGAATCCTCAATCAAGATATAGAACATTTTCATCAGCTCAACTAGTTCTTGTATTCCCTTCTGCTAAATGCCATCCCTACCCCTCCCAGAGTCAACCAAGTAATGATCCAGGTATTATTGAACCTGTTCTTAAACTAAATGAAACCATACAGTACATATTCTTTCATGTCTGGCTTTCTGATAAATATTTTTGTGACTCATTCATCCTATCAGTAGTTTAGTATTTTAATTGCTAAATAATGTAACAAGGTAGGAATATATCATAACTTGGTTATTGTTTCTTTCACTGATGATATTTGGATGTTTCCACTTGGGGGTTATTATAAATAAAGCCACTATAGACATTCATTCTGTGTGTGTTTGTATATAATAGCTTCATAGAAATACAATTCACATAGCACACAATTCACTTATCTAAAGTGTACAATTCAGAGGTTTTTAGTAAAATTCTCAAAGCTGTTTAACCATCATCACAATAAATTTTAGAATACCTTCATCATATCGAAGAGAAACCCTATATTTTTAAACTATCACTTCCCTTCTCATCTCCCAGTTTTCCCATTACAGTCCTAGGCAAACACTAATTTATATTCTATATAGATTTGCCTATTCGAGAAAACTGATATAAATGGAATTATACAGTATGTGACCTTTTGTGCCTTACTCTTTCACTTAACAAAATGTTTTCAAGCTTCATCCACGTTGCAGCATGTACTAGTACCTCATTCATTTACATGACAGAAGAGTACTCCATTGTATGGATATAGCACTTTATCTATTCAATTGCTGATGAATATTTGAGTTATTTCTATCAATATCTCTCGGCTACTACTAGTATGTTGCTAAGAACATCAGGTACAAGTTTTGTTTGAACACCTGTTTTCAATTCTTTTAGGCATCTACCTAAGAGAGGCATGACTAGCTAAAATGTAACTAGCAGGGTGTTATACAAAGTGGCTACATTATTTTACATTTCACCAGCAGCATATGAGGCTTCCAATTTCTCCACATCCCTAACAACATTATTTCCTGTCTACTCAATTACAGCTGTGAAGTGAAGTGGTATCTGACTGTGGTTTCAATAAGCATTTCCTTGATGACATATTATATTGAGCATCTTTTCATGCGTTTTATTGATTATTTGCTTATCTTCTTTAGAGAAATGTCTTTTCAGATCCTTTGCCCTTTTTAAAATCTGCCTTTTTTACTATTGAACTGCAAGAAATGCTTACATTCTAGATACCAGTTCCTTAACAGATACATGTTTTATAAATATTTTCTATCATTCTACGAGTTGTCAGTTCTTAATAGTGTCCTTTGAGGCACAAAAGTTTTCTATTTGGGTGAAGTCTAATTTATCCCATTTTGTATTTGGTTGCTTATGGTTAGGTGTCATACCTAAGAAACCAGTGCCTAATCCAAACCCTTCATATGCATTTCTAGATTCCTTTACATATCAACTTTGGGATCAGCCTTGTCAATAGCTGGGGATTTGACAGGACTATGCTGAATCTGTAAGATCCATTATTGCCAGCTAACTACATTAACCCTTTCAATGCATGAACACAGAATATTTTTCTATTAACTGCGGTATTCCTTAAATTTTTTCAACAATATTTTGCAGCTTTGGTGAACAAGCCTTGCAATTCTTTTGTTAAATTTACTAATAAGAATTTTATATTTGTTGGTGCTCTTGTAATTGGAGCACCAACTTAATTTTGTTTTCACGTTTTTCATTTTTAGTGTATAGAAATACAACTGATTTTGCATACTGATTTGGAGCCTTACAACTCTAAATGAGCTCATTTATTATCTCCAGCAGATTTTTTTGTAGATTCCTTAGGAAATTTTATACACAATATGCTATCTATAAACAAAATGGTTTCTTCTTTTCTGATTTGGATGTCTTTTCTTTCTTTTCCTTGCCTGTTTATTCTTACCAGTATCTCCAGGGCAATGTTATATAGAAGATGTGAAAGCAGATATCTTGTCTTATTTCTGATCTTAAGGGAAAAGTATTCAGTTATTCACCATCAAATATGGATTTTTCACAGGTTCCCTTATCAGGCTAAGGAAGTCTTCTTTCTAGTCCTAATTTGTTCAGCATTTTTAGAATGAAAAACATGAAAAGGTATTCACTTCTGTGAGGCCTTTTCTGTGTATGTTGAGGTGATGATGTGATTTTTGTCCTTTATTCTATCAATGTGGTGTATTACACTGACTTGATTTTTCTAAGCTGAACCAACCCTGAATTTCTGAGTAAATGTCAGTAG